GAAGTGACGTGTGGCAGTTAAAGGCAACTACTGAAAGAACACTACAAGCCACGGAGATGGACTACTGGAGACGGGCCGCAGGAAAATCAAAACTCGAAAGAATTAATAACGAACGTATACGAGAGGTTATGGGAGTCACACATACGATTGTCGAAGATATAAGAATACAACAACTAAAGTGGTATGGACATGTGCAGAGAATGCCAGAACATCGTCTGCCCAAACAGATTATAGATTGGTCACCACATGGAAAGAAAAAATGAGGCCGACCCAGAAAGAGCTGGAGAGAAGGAATAGACAGAGAGATCCGAGAGAGAGGTTTACACGAAGATCTTTGGGAAGATAGAGATGCATGGAGATTGGGCATCGGAAGACGTCGGAGGACGTTTTAAACCGATTATATATATATATATATATATATATATATATATATATATATATATATATATACTTAGTGTTAACTGCTTTATAAGTCTTTCTGGATATTTATCATTAATTAAATTACACACTACCATCTATCCCGATCTGTTTCCATACAAAATTATCATGAGTATTTCAGTTCTTTGCTTTACACTTATTATTACATTACATTTTCTTGCTTTACACAAATTAATTCTAAGTAATAATACAGAACATTCACGAATTAATATAACAATTATTGTATTACTTAATTGTTATTGAATGTTGTCGAGGCATTAACTCAATAATAATAATAATTGTTATTGAACGTCAATAAAATAATAACATTTCATTAAAACTTTTTTGCAATTAATAAGAAATAATGTATAATTAAACTTGGTTGTAAAATGTAGGTCATTAAAATTAAAAATCGACGTGTTTTAGATTTTTTTTCAAAAGCCTTTGAGTTTAGAAAATATCCAATATATTCCATACTTTTCGGACCCACTGTATATTAAAAATACATATTTGTAGTTTGAATTACTTATTCTCAAACAAAAGTATCAGTCGTAGCAGAAATAAATGAATTAGAAAAGATATTAGAGTCAATAAACAAAAAACAGACTAAAATCCTAGTACAAAGTTGATTTATTCGATATTATAGTCGATATTAGCTAAAACATTGACAAGCTCGTGAAGGATAGCTCCGCTCGTTTAAAATTCAGCTCGGCTCGGCTTGAAAAAAATTTGTTCGGCTCGAAGCTTGGCTCGCAAAGAAACATACCGGCTTGAGATCGCAAGCAAAGCAGAGCTAAGCTCAAGCTTGTGACCATCTCTAATTTTATGTCATTTTGAAAAGTGGTTTTTTGCAAATACTCAAGCAATTTTTTTTAGATTAATAGTCGAAATTTTACCCCATTTTGTTCGTTTTATACCTGCAAATACCTGCAAATCGTTTTAGATCTCTAAATTGTTGATACTTGTTTTGATTTACAATCAGTGTACACTGCTTATATGCATATAATCAAGTCAACTTCATTCATCAAGGTATATTTATAGTAACCATAGTTGTTCTTTTCTTACCTTTAATACCTTACCCAGTTAGGATTACCTGTATTCTAATACTAATTAACTTCATTGTTTGTGTCTCATTTTCTTCCTTGTTTATATAATTTTATCATCCCATATATTGGTTTTTTTATCCCAAAGTCAATCCCAAGTGTAGAAAAGCTAGCCCGAATTCTCCCTGGAGATTTGATCTGAGCAGGCTATTCTTTATTAGTACTTTCAATAACTTCACTCCAAATTTTCCTTCTTGCAAATTATTATTCCTAAATTACAATACCCCAGAGTATTAGGGTTTCAAGGTATATATCTTTTATTCTACAAGAAGTGAACAACGAACTGAAAAAGACCTTAACCGTTTAGATGCCACAAAAGGTACACTTGTATATGGCTTTGAGAGGTATGACTTTGTAAAATTGAAGGAAATATCCGAAGATATAGCGCTAAAAATATTTTTTTTTCTGGAAAACATTGAACAAATTCTAGACGCAGCTGGATGTTAACGAACATTTTGGAAAATTTTTAAATGCAGATTGCAAGTTGATCTTTTTAAATTGCAATGAATAATTAAAAACAGCAATTTTCAATGGCTATTTAAAAGTGAAATCGTAGCTGATAAAAACATGATTCTGAAGCTATTTTTTGTGACATTTTATTTAAATTATTCCATTTTTTTTGGAATTAACCACGAATGTACTTACAAAAAAAGTTTATTTGTTAACTCAACTTTAAATTGGAATTTTTCGAGTATCTTTGAGATTAGAGTTATAAACGTTTGCACAAATCACTTTGCAGCAAGTTCAAGAACTAATATAGAGAGGGCGCCAGTATCCAAAATCGACATTATACGTAAAGAACAAAGCTTTAAATGTCAGTCGGTTGACGTTTCGTTTGCAATTTTCCAATGAATTGAAAATCTAATTTGAACAAAGTGTGTTAACAAAGCATAGATTCGTAATGGGAAAAACTATTGTTAAACTATTTGTTTAATGACCTGTTTAGAGTGAAATTATCTTAGAACGACCTTTGATAATATGCGAATCTCACAATGAATGAGATTTTAAAAGAATATACAAATCATGTTTTAGATTAACAGACAGTTAATCTGCCGAAATTTTAGGTTGGCCTTTAGTTATGATTTACTGAAATAGCAATTGAAAAATCATTGTTGAATTACAAAAATGTCAGTTAAAAAGTGTATCTTATCGCAAAATTTGTTTCTAATGATGTCCTTTTCCTTTATCTCCTAAACATGCAATACCTACCAACAGTTTGTATCGTTGTCAACAGAATCGTATAAAGAACAAAAGAAGCTCCACTTTTTTTTCGAAACCTCCGCCTAAGACTGAAAGTCTCAACGATTATTCATTCCGTGAGCGTTCAGAATGCAGCATTGCAGAGATGCAAAACTACAAAACGAGAAATATGAGATTTGTGAAACAAGAGAATGATTTCACGCCTCTTTGATTGTTCATTCAGGAACCCACACGAACCATTAAATGAAATACATATTATTATCAAGTAGTCCGTGGCGAATGGTGCATCATAAAATATTAGAGTCGACTCGTCGACTGTATAAGATCGACCGAGTGGAACCAGTTTATTAAATCACCGATCAATATATCTACAGTGTGCGTCTAAAGTATTCCTCAGCACAACTGTTTTTTAAGTGAAGCTTCTATACTTTCGTTGTATTACTTTTTTTTCTCTACAGTAAAATGTTGAGGGTAGCGACACAGAACTAGCGCCACAAGATGGCGTCATCACAAGTAGCGTCATAGAACTCATAGAATAGCGGTTCTTGACATCGATTCACTATTCTCTATCAATTCGTTTCTAGTCATCATATATTTACTCTAAGCAGGTTTAAATTAAAAACTGCATGAAAAATGAGACATTAAATATTAAAAGAATATCTGCCACTAAAATGTTACATTCGTAGCGATTGTCAAAATTTAATAAAAGTCATAAATGTCATCCGATTCATAACAACATTGAATCATGTGTTTAAATTTTTATTCTGACTTTATATTTTATTATTAATGTTGCGTCTGAATTTGGCAGGGATTTCATAAGTAAAAAATGTACGCTTTATCAATACGTTAACAGATGGCGTTAGAAGTAAACATAATAATTTATTGAAATTGTAAATATAAAAAATAAATAATAAAATGACTTCATTGAATTTTAAATATATTATTCTAATTTTAAAAATACAGAAAACATAGTATGAAGCTCTGCGCTATTCTACAGCACCGCCTACTCCTCCACTTTTTTTTTAAATAGTTTTAGGGTAACTTAACTAAAATATCAGGCACTTTTTATCGTTTTTTAGTAACGGATTCATTAAAAAAGGTAAGCAGACCATATAGTAAACATTCTTATAGCTCGTGTGTCAATATGTACCTAGACAATTGTGTGATTTCCTAGCATGTCAATAAGTAAACAAACTAAATATATTGGACTATAGGAAACTGAAAAAATTTAAAAAATGTGTAAAATTCTTTATAAAAGGTATATAAAAATGCCCCAAACGGGCTATCACAAACACATTGCAAAACGTTTTCGGATTAATCAATCCATCATCAGTGCAAACGGTTGTACATGCTAGTAGCCACCAAAATATATGGGTCAAAACCCTTTAAATGTTTTAAATTTGTAGTTGTTTTACATTATTAGTAGTTATCATTTGTGATGTTTAAGTTACCGTTGGATAGGTAACATGGCGGCGTATGTTACCTATCCAACGGTAACTTAAACATCACAAATGATAACTACTAATAATGTAAAACAACTACAAATTTAAAACATTTAAAGGGTTTTGACCCATATATTTTGGTGGCTACTAGCATGTACAACCGTTTGCACTGATGATGGATTGATTAATCCGAAAACGTTTTGCAATGTGTTTGTGATAGCCCGTTTGGGGCATTTTTATATACCTTTTATAAAGGATTTTAAACATTTTTTTGTGATATATGGTATACAGCCAGCTACAGGAACTTAGTTTCCTCGTGGAATTTTGAAAAAATTAATTAACTTGTTCAAGCATGTTCAATAAAAGTTAACGACTACCAATTTAGTGGGGGTTGTTCATACTTTTTCCACACTGCCACCATTAAATATTGAAGAGTCAATAATTTAGAAAGAAGCACTACATAATACGAATGTATTATGTAGAAGGTCCACTAAATCGGTTTGGGATAAATTATAATTTGAAAACTACATACTGCAGTACAGTGAAATTTTTTTGGACACCAAATGGTAACGGCGATAGCTTTTAGGTTTGTGCAAATGGGAAGATGTGTGGAGTAGAGATCATTGGATATGAATATGGATGTTCTCTAAGATAGTCAGTTCTCAAGGAATAATATCCTATAAAACCATTTAGAACTTTTTTGCGGTCAGATTTGAAATCCGTTTCTTATAAACATACTATATCGGCAGTAGTATCAAGGATTAACTTTTGAAGGTGTTCACGTCAAACAAAATGTAATGGATGTTTAAATATATACATAATAAAAAATGTAACTTACTTTGCACCTCTCCTGGCTACTTCCAACAGACATAGAATGACGTGTTTCTCGTTTTTTCGCATAATTAAATCATCGGTTTCGAACAATAGGCATTCTATTATTTTTAACGAATTGCGGCACCAATTGATAAAATTACTAACGTTGTCCCTGCAAAAAATAAACAATAAATATATTAAGTACTCTAAAATAAAAATTTAATTTTGTAGGTTGATAAAATTATTTAATTGTAATACATTTGTAGATATATTTCCACAAGTTATATATGAATATGGTCCTTCTCAAATCTTTTTTCCAGTCGTCACCTATTCTAGTGGTTTGGTCGAGAATAATTCTATGAAACTTGAGACAAATTTGACAGTAATCAAAATTGTATTAGCCAAATATGAATTTGGTATGAAACTAATGTATTTTATGGTAATTTGGATTGAAAAACAAACTTTTTGTTTTGAGTAAATTTTGTATTTTTGTGTAAAGTGTTGTTAACTGGTTTATGTGTAAATAAATAATAGTTATTTCAATTTTAATTATACAGAACATATTAAGAATAATGCTCTCTTCTTTCTCCTCTTTGTCAATCATTTTCCATCCACTCCTGAATGTAGGTCTCTCCCAATTGCTTCCATCTTTCTCTATCTTTCGCCAATCTAATCCACTGTTTGCCTGCCACTGCTCTTATGTCATCTACCCATCTTTTTTGAGGTCTTCCCATGCTTCTTGTTTTCGTCCTTGGTCTCCATTATAGAATTCTCCGTGTCCACCTGTTGTCAGTATATCGGGCTACGTGACCTGCCCGCAGGTAGCAGGTAGGAACACCTCTGGATAGTTCTATCAGGGAAAATGAATCAATCCCTGCCCTCCGCAGATTTCAGAGTATAGGATTGTATAGAATCACTCGCCAACCCGCTCAGCAAGCATGGTGTTTTAAATATGCTTAACCTCCCAAGTTAAAGATGTCGAGTATCAATACGAAATTACCCCAGGTGAGTAGAGTTATACACTCACACTGAGCAATCAGTTAGCCTCATGGATTCTGGGGGAGGTAAATATTTAATTGAACATAAGAAAAACTACCCATCATTGCTTCGTATAACAAGAATGCAGCTTAAGATATATAAAAACTCAGGAAAAATCATGTGGTTTTCAAAGAGTTTTTTTCAAAAAGAGAATGGACATTATCTATGAGTTTCCAGGTTATCAGAGGTGTAGTTTTTTTATTAACAAAATCACATCAGCCAAATTGACTATTAAATGAAATGAGGTTGAATGCTCCAAGTAAATTGACTATTAGCAAAACAATAAAAGCAAACAAACTATGTATTAGATTTACATGTTTAGATAGCCTTAGAATGTTAATTGATGTTAAGAAACTTTTTAGGTTTGACATATTGCACTGTAAACCTAAAATATCACTTAGTTTGTGGGGTATGTTGTACAACACGTGCTTTGGTGTTAATGATGGAGATTTCTCTAATATATGTTTGATTGTTAACTTTTATTCACAGTTGTCACATCTTGATTCTTTTTTGTTGGAAAACACATGGCTATTAGTTAATCGCGTATGACCCAGTCGGTGTCGCATTAATATTATCTGGTCTCTCTGACTTGGTGGTAATGTGAGTCAGGGTTTTATAGATTTTTTACTATCGCGTAGCTTGGCTGCTGACACTTTCCACTTTTCTTCCCACATAAGTATATCGCACTATAGATTCACGGTTGCACTCATAAATGTTTCAGTACAGCCCCCACTATCACTAGTTGTAGCTTCTATTGCAGCGTTGTCTGCCTTTTTATTTTCTTGGATTCCAGTATGGGATACTATCCAAAAGAATATAATATTTTTTCCATTAAGTTGAGCAGCATGAACTTTTTGTTTTATCTTGATGACCAAAGGATTAATTAGGTAGACATATTGGATTGACTGTACGAAACTTAAAGAGTCTGTGATTATTGTATTATTGGTATTATTGGATGCGTTGACAGCAAGGGTAGCCTGGTATAGAACGTATAGTTCAGCAGATAAAATGGAGTACTCTAAATGGAGTTTGTATTTATTTGTCGATGTTGGGGTTATGACTGCAGCACCAGTACTTTTATCTGATTTAGATGCATCTGTGTGTATATGTGTGTAATTCTTGTAGTTGTAAAGCATATGATTGAAGGCGGATTTGATTAACTATGGATTTGTTAAATGTTTGTCGAAAGAAATGAGGCGGGTTAGACATTGAGGGTACTTTATTTGCAATTGAGGAATTGAGGACGAATTGGGAGGGAAAGCATTCTGGGAATCTGCAGTTTAATTGATTTGAGTAGCTTCTAATCCTTGTGTAGAAGGGTTTGGCTGTTCTTGGTTTATTTATAAAGAGATTTGAAAACTTTTCTGTAAATCAATTTTGAATAGTAGGCTTTTTGAGTTAGGTCTAATTTTTGCGGCGCATGCTACAGTTAAATAAAGTCTTCTGTCTAGGGGCGGTTCACCAACTTCACAATAAATACTTTCGATTGGTGTTGTGCAAAAAAAGCTCCAGATATTATACGTAAAAAGAGATTGTGAAGATTGTCAAGTTTTTTAGGAATGTCTTAGTGGCTGTAGAATACAGGCTTTTCTTTATTGGCTTCCATTCTTTATTAGAAAATTTAATCTCTTGTGACAAGATAAGATCAAATTCGTTATATAAAATTTCCAGCTTAGAGTTTCTTCGAATGCCATGCCCAAGAACTTTATTAACGTTACACTTTTTAGGTTCTCATCACATAGTTTTAAGTTGGAAGTAGAGGTCTATTGTTTTTACGGTAATGTGTACAAAAAGTAAAAAGACAAAATTTAAGTTTTTCTTTTTTAATGAAAAAGTTTTGCGATTTTTTTTCTGTTAACTAAAAGAACAATACAACAACATAGCTATTTTGACAAAAACGAAATCAAGCATTTAATGAAAAGAATAATTTTTTTAGAGACGGGAAGGAATAACAGATAAAAAGCATGGTATTTATTCTCCCCTTTTTACTTATTTACAACTATATGCAATGTTTAAATTATGCATTTTACTAAAATTAATTTTTAAGCAAAGCATTTTTAAGAAAATAGCTTCAAATCATATCCAGAAAACAATTAAAAGATGTAAGCTTTTACCTAAAATTAAATACTATGTCGTGCAATGTAAACATCATTACATCATACGTACTGGCATCTAATAGCATAGAGGAAGAAATAGGCATCTTTTACAATAAATTAGATAAAACAATTAAAGAGACCAAAAAAGAAGAAGTTAATGTTATTTTAGGCGACTTCAATGCGAAAATAGGGAAAGAAAGTAAAAATATTTTTTCACTTATAGAAGTGTAATTAAGCAAAAACAAAATAAAAATGTTAAAAACGAAAATGGAGAACTGATGATAAACTTCTGCAGGCATAACGAATTTAGCATAAACAAGACATTTTTTGACCACAACGACCAACACAAGTATACATTCAGTAATACATGTGGACAAAGATCTATAATAGATTATGTTATAACCAATAGAAGCATCTTCTTCTTCTACGGCACTACAGCCCAAAATGAGCCTTGGCCTCCTTTATTTTTTGCCTCCACCCTTGTCTGTCTGTGGCTGCTCTTCTCCATACACGGACTCCTAAAAGTGCTTGTGCGTCGCTGCTTACTGTGTCTTCCCAGCGCTTTCTTGGCTTTCCAACTGGTCTCTTTCCCTGCATTCTGGCGTTCAGTGCTCGTTTTGGTAGCCTATCCTCTCCCATTCGTATCACATGTCCGGCCCATTGCAATGGACTCCGCCCGTGGTGAACTCCGCCTGTGGTGACTAATGGGTGGATTGAATAGCTCAGGAGTCACCATTGCCGGTCCTAAGCCCGGGTAAAGGAGGAAGGTTGGGCAGTGGGCTAACAACCCACTCCCGGAAAAACACACTGTTATGAAACCTAAACAATAGAAGCATACATCCATCAAAAATAATTGACGTAAGATGCCTCAACTCAGCAGATGCAGGTAGTGACCATAGCATAGTATTATGTAAAATAAAAATCATCATGAAATAGTTCACACCCAAGTCAACGGCGCCAACATAAGCAAAAATCAGAGTCGAAGGACTAAATACGGAATAATTATACAAAAAAAATATCAGGGAAGATTGCTGGAAATGAAATATTAAAAAACGCTAACATCGAAGAAAGCTGGGAAAAACTTAAAAATATCATTACTAACGCAGCAACAGAATCACTTGGAGAAAGGAAAGTAAGGAACACTAACATAACAAAAAACAAAACCTCATGGCTTAGAGAGGAAGTGAAGACAAAATGTGAAGAAAAGAAGAAAGTCTTTTTACGATACAGAACACAACAGGCATACAACCACTATAACTGAATTAGAAATGAAACTAATACTTTAGTTAGACAAATAAAAAGGGAATACTGGCAGAGCCTCTCAAAACACACAAAACACGACTTTTACGGATCACAAAAAGAAATATGAAGAATGAACACAGAAGAAAAAAAATAATGAACGAACTAATAAAAACGTAACACATTCAGAAGGAAACATTGTCATACTACTTTTGATACCTATTTGCTAAAGCTGGCGATAATGAACCACCAACACCAGATGTGACGAGAAACGAATAAATAAATATATTCAGATTAGGTCAGATAATAGAAAAAGTGATGGAGTTTAAATATCTAGGCATCACATTATCTAGCTATGGAAAGCTCAAAACGGAAGTGGCAGATTAAGTGAATAGAGCAAACAGAACTGCAGGTTGCTTCAATGAAACAATATGGAGAAATAAAAATATCGGAAAAAAAATAAAAGGCAGTATTTACAAAACAGTCATCAGACCAATAATGACATACTCAGTAGAAACACGACCTGACACAGAGAGGACAAAAAGGATGTTAGAAACACCAGAGATAAAAACACATAGTAAAACACTACGGGACAGGGTAAGGACTGGGTAAGAAATAGAAGAGTAGAATGGAACGATCATATAAGCCGAATGACAACAAATAGAGTAGTAAAGACGGCAAGAGACGATTCCCCAACAGAAAAACGATCAGTAGAAAGACCGCGTAAACTACGGAACGACAACTTACTGTAGGCACATTGAAAAACAGATAGAGTCATGTTAACATAAAAAGAAGAAAA